CTGCTTCAGGCAGAAATAGCCATGACACCTTTACCACTCAATTCCAAAGAATTTGACAAAATGCCCAAAGCTAACTGTAGTAGGTGCAATCAGGAAATGCCATTAGTGCTCCTGGCAGTACACGTCAAATCATGTTGCAGTGGAAGTCCTTCTTACAGTGAAGAATCAGTAACTGTAGAATCTGCAGAAGAAGCTGCACATGATGATGGCAGCACAGAAGTATGTGACTGTCTTAAGTTCCCTTGTATTTGCAAAACCACAGCATTGATTGATTGCTCATGTAATGACAGATTCTTTTTTAAAAATAGCTACTCGGCTGTGACACAGATGTGGAATTTGTCCCACCTGTCATCAATGCAGAACCATCCAAAAAAGTCAGTGCCATTATGGAATCTTTCTTTTTTCTAATTGATGGAATTTTAGTCAATATTTATGTTTCCTCCTATGTATTCTTTTTTTTTCCAGACAAAGTGGGCTTCTTGCCCAGTTTGCCAGGAACCATTTCCCCTTGATGTTCTAGAGGTGCATGCAAGCATATGTGGTGAGAGGTAGGAGTAGTTAAACTGTCCCAGCAGATTATTCCATCTATAGAATAATTACGTTTTGTGATTAATGTAATAATTTCACATTGACATATGATGTAATTAAGGCATCCAAATATTACCCAGGTTTAAAAACATTAGATGTCTAGTCATTACTGAACATTATTGTTATGAGATTTCAAATGCTCTCCCATTGTGACAGTAAAATTGTATATATTTCTCAGACCTGTAGAAGACAAAAGAGCCTTGGATGTTAAAAAAATGAGCCTCAAAGGTCAGATTATAATAGAGAAGTGTGAATTAGTTTTGCAAATTTATCTCTGTATATCTATATACTGTACATTTATATACTGTTTTTCAGCCTTGATGTATGGAGCCTTGATGACAACTTGTTTAAACTAGCTGAACAGGTGGACTATTCGCAGAGAGTCTGTGTCACTCGATCCAACTTCTTTCACTGTGCTCTTCAACAATGGAAAAGACAAAAGAGGAGCACCCCAAAATGCTCACTTAAAGTTTGTTTCGTCGGAGAGGCAGGTGTAGATACAGGGGCAATAAAGAAGGAGTTTCTTACTGGTAACTATCCATTTCATTATTTTTGTATATCACTTTTTAAATAATATATTTTGTTGATATTTGGTGGTTGAGCTTAACTTTACTGCACTTATTTATTTTGGCAAACCTGATGAGTGGAATTGAATTGCACTACTTTAAGCCTGGAAATGGCAAGAAAGGAAAGAATCCTATATATTCATAAGTGCCCTGGAGGATGGCTACTTCAGGTTGAAAGACATTGCCTTGTGTCAACTTGTGTTTTCTTTATGTTTGTGCAATTTTGTGTACACTTTACAATAGTATTTGGGTACACTTTATCGTGTACCAAAAACTTCTCACTGATAGTGTATATGTGTTATAATTTTCCTTCAAATATCCTTAGGAGCTTTGGGGAGATCATTGCTATGAGCTTGGCTCAAGGTGGTCCAGCATCTGATTTTATGCGCAATTGGTGCTACACCTATCTTGCAAACAGGAGATTTTGACCGTTTGGTTGTAACCCCTGAAGATGTGACTGACCTTGAAACTATTCAGTTAGTTGAAAAGGTGTTGCCAGGATTTTGTGCTGTTAAAAATTTAAGAGCATAGAATGTTGTGTATTTGTATATGGGAGATGTCCCTTCAAATGTATGTGTGGATCGTTTTATGTTACAGGTAAGAGCAGCCACTGATGAGAAACTACAGAGTCTCACTGATGATCTGCTTTCCTGTGGATATACAGGTCTCATAAATGCAGACAGAATGGACCCAATAACAAGGTTTTTAGCAAAACATTGAATTCAATTTACCAGCAGTGTAAATGACCGTTAAATCCCCCATGCACTAAATTGGTCTGGCACCTTCATTTCCATAGACCTCCATAATATTTATATATTATTGAATAGATTTGTTAGGTATATTTTGTACTATTATTAGGCAAATGTTTTTCTTTTTTTCAATCAGCTCTTACGGTGTTTTGAAAGTTGTTATTCAATTAAGTTCTTTATAAACATCAGTTCCAAGAGAGTAAAGTGCATTGGTTCAGCTGGAAATCCTAAAGCAACATTTTAGGCATGTTGTGCATAATGTAGCTTATGTATTACTGAGAGTGGAACACCTTTGCCAGAAATACTGATGATTTTTATCCTTCAGAACCATCATTCTTCATTCCCTGGCCCGACTTCTGCCCGTGCTTGACCAAATGCAAAAAGGCTTGCAGCTTTACAACCTTCTGGATGTAATGGAGAAAAACATTGACATATGCCGGCCCTTGTTTGTGCCACTTCAGGTTAACAAGGTAAAATCTTTCAGGTGAACACATTAATGATATATTGGCATAAATTCTGTGGTTCACGTACTGTAATCTTTTGTCTTTCTTCATTAGCCTGATGCAAATTTCATTATGGCAAGCTGCAAACCTGACTTCAGTGAACAAGGCACCACAAGACACAATCTTGAACAAAGTCTTCTCAACTGCTTCCAAGATTTTCTTCAGGAACTAGAAGATAATGGTAAGATGCATGTCCATTTGAGTTAATCAGGTATTTTTGTAAGTGTAAACAAATTGTAATATGGTCACGCCATGTGAAATGAATCGATTTTAGGAAACGTTTCCACTCTATCCCCTTGGATATTCTTTATCTAAAGATATTTCGTGCCTGTACATCTTAAAGGGGTATGTAAGATCTAAGCTGTAAGTTGAAATTTATCTTTTTTATTTCACTTTTTTCCACTTAATACTCAATTTTTGGTCAGCAAGCAGTTAATGTAATGCATGTGTCAACACATCTTACATCCATCACACCTAGTAAATGACAATGGCACCTCTTGATTTGACATGGAATGATCCAGTATTTTCTTTTATTAGATGCTGATCCTGAGCACTTTGGTGAAAGTGAGGAATTGGATGCAGAAGTGGTTCAAAACGCAAAACACAGTTCCATCAGTTCTGCAATGGTTAACTGGCCAAGGACACCAGCCAGTACTGCCAAGTGAGAGAAACAACTTTGAAATTCACATCAAATTCAATCATGCATGTCAACAGGAAGAGCATGAAATTTGTTTTCCAATAGTTAGCACTTGTACGAAGACCGTTACTTTTCCTGTGGCACACATGAGTTCATACAATGAGTTCAAACATGTGCTTACTCTGGCTCTGCGTTTTGGGAATACCTTTGGCAGAGTTTAATGTGTGGAACAATAAAGGCAATGACTGCAGTAGAGCATTCAATTTTACAGTTTACATTTTCTTCCATGGTATGTAGAATTTCATAGTAGACATGGGTCACAGCCATCCATACATCTCCCCATAAACGCTCAATTCTGAAATTATTAATTATATTTCAGAGTTATATAAGACTTTAATGTTTCCAGTTTATCAATATGGATTACAAATCAAACACACCTCCGATTATGTACACTTTTTCCTGACACAAAGCTGGCACGTCCTGTCCCCCGCACAGTGAACATGCAGCCAGCTATCCCAAGGTTCTCAATTCCTTGATCACCTCTTACTCTGCATTAAGACAGGACACATACATGCAAGCTGTTTCAGCTCAGCTGAGCTGTTATTTTTTTAAACTGCAGTCTGTACTGTTGATTCAAGGAAAGGGTTTAAAAGCATAAGCCTCAAGTAAAAGTAAAAAAAGCATACAGTCTTATGCAAAAGTTTAGGCACCCCTTGATAAATAACAGATTTTGGTGATTTTTTATTTGAACAGATGTTAACACAGTTTCTCTTGGAAATGGAAAAAATGCACAATATTTTCAGCAAACAGTGATGCATAGTTACTTCTTATGCCATAAATTGAACAAAAATAAAAAATAAAAACATTATTATGGCATGGTGCAAAAGTTTGGGCACCCTACACAATCAGTACTTAGTAACACCTCCTCTGGCAGAGGAGGTGTGTAAGTGGTCATAACATGAACTACAGTCCTGTACATGTTACCCTATGAATCTGTAACAGAGCAGAAATACCAGTGTGTGTGAATTATATCCAACATCCATTGTCCACCACACAATCATTTTTTCCTCCATTTTGTTTACTTTCCTTAAGGTAGTGAAATGGAGCAATGAATAGCTCTGTGCTTCAGTTTTGTTGGAGTTAAAAAGACCAATGGCTGCAACTCTCAAAACGAGCTAAGGGCTAGGATTACAGCACAACGGGAAATCAGAGAATGCTGTGCTCTAATTCTCACAAAGACTTGGTTTTCTGACAGAGTTCCAGACTCAGCGATTCAGCTAGAGACTCACTCTGTACACAGGGGAGACCGCACTGCTGCTTCTGGGAAGGTAAAAGGAGGCGGTGTGTGTGTTTATGGAGATGTACGGACTGTTTATAAGCACTGTTCGCCAGATGTAGAGTTTTTATTGCTGAAATGCCGGCCCTATTATCTAGCTAGAGAGCACAGTGCTGTGTTTCTAGCTGCTGTGCAATTATTTAGTATTCATGCTGAAATAATGAGTGAAAAAACATTCTAGTATGGTAGCGAATCAGCTGATGAACTGGTGGAGGCTGCCAGGTTGGAGCAGCTGGAAGATGAAATAATTGATTTGCTTGACATATATGTAAAAGCATTAAAGCTTTCTGGTAAAAATCCCAGACGTTAAAATGAGATTCATTATCAGATTGTGAAGTTTGTACAGGAAGAAGAGATAAAGACAGACCATGAGTGTGGTGAGGTGGCAAAAGGGGAGGTGCTCTGCTTTGCTCCATCTGGTACTACACAGGTGCCTATACTCAGACCAAAGCCGGAAGCTGAGGTTATGACCAAGGGGGAGCTACACCCAAACTCCCCCATTCTGTACCTCCAGTGTCACACAAACGTGAAGGGGTGTTTTGTTCCCCAGCTGGGAAAGGATGGAAGAAAAAGGTGCCTGTGCCTGTGATTCCTGTTGAGCCAGCCAGACCTCCTTGATCTTCAGTGCCTGCCGTCGTCATCCCCCAGCTGATATACGCACAGCCAGGGAGGTGGGCTGGAAGGCCTCAGAGGACAAGAGGGCTTCCTGCAGGCCAAAGAGCAAGGTGCTTCCACTGTGGAAAGTGGGGGCATGTGAGAGACAGATGCCCCGAGTGGTCTCGTGGCAGATTTACCCAGGGTCAACAGGGCAACCCTGGGGCATGGGGACCTATGAGCAAAGGGCGGGGTCCCCCTCTTAAGTATTCATCACTGGGACAACAATAAAGACAGTGTGAGTCATGCTGACTTTTTCAAACTCTATTTCCTGTAGTTCCAGAGCAAGGAAAGAGACTGGAATGTGACATTGTGGTTCTGGCTGCACAAACCAAATGACTGTGGGGGCAAAGGACAAAGAAAGAGAAAAGCCGAGGCCATGGTGTATCGGTCTGGATGTGGATAACACCTTTATAAATATATTTGGAATGTGAATGGACTTACTAATGATGATTTGTCAAGAGGCATCACTCCCTGTCTGTCAAATTCACTGCACTCTTCAATATTTAAAACTAAGTAACTATGTAAACTTATGTATTCTAAAATAAAATCTTAACTATTCCTTTTCTAATATGATAGAATAGTCATACACAAACAAAGTGAACAAGTTAAATAAGCAACAATCATGGTGTCAATCTTCTACTAAATAAGTACTTAATTCAATCAAATGTTAGAACTAATCGTAGAGTCTTTGTTAATTATTTTACTCAACAGGTGGAAGATCCCAGAACAATAATAATAAAATAAAGAACAGAAGAGCACAATAAAGTTCACCATGACATTTGCAGATATTCTTAAAACCATCCTATGCCAGATGAATATAAAAAAAGCGTTAAAAAAAAAAAATTTAAAATATGTTTAAAAGAAAACATGCAACTGATACGACTCATACATGCCCATATTATGCAAACCTTATTAGTTTGTGATTCGTGTCGATGTGGACAAGTGACAGTGGCCCCCGGACAGAATAAGTTTGACTCACTGTGCTTCCTTCCCATGTGTGTCATTTGGGAAAAAACACCAGCAGAGTCGATTCTGTGCATGGAACCTTTAATCCTGTGCCACTGAACGCGATGGCCCTCATCCTGTAACAGTCCTTTAACAACTCTGTATCCTGCATGTGGAGCTCTTGCTTTAAGATCAGCAATTTTGTCATCTAGTTCTTGATCAGACATAGAGCTGTATGATGTCTCGGTTGAAATGCCATGATCTTTCATTCTCCTGAAAATCGTACTCTCACTAACGCTGAGTAGATTGGCCACACATTTCACAGGTAGTAGTATTTCGAAAAGATAGGTCAGGAAATCAGCAGAGAACTCAAACTTTGGGCTTCCTCTTTCCCCTTGCAACAGTCTGAACAATATAGAGCCTTGTTTCTCTTCTATGGCAGCTGTCACACATCTGCCTAGCTGTATCAGACCTTCTGTTATCGGGGAGGGTATCTCAAAAATTCGGGATGCTGTATCCAGTAAGATGTATTCTTGATTGCAAACATACTCCAAATAATCAAGGTCGACAGAAGACTGTTCAAGGGCCCACTGAATTCTTGTCATTACACGTTCCAGTATGCAACCAACGATTTCCTGAAAGCCCAAGAGACAGCATTAGCTTTAAAATAAACAAACACATTTTATTTTATGTCAAAATCACACTAGCTGGCTGATGATATTGTTGGCTTCCATTGTCAGGCTGTTGGTTATTGGTGCTAGCATAGCTTTAGCTCACTACTTTTAAACAAATACTGGTGACCTACTTTAAAATTGCAGCTTTAGCATCATCATCATTTAACATCATCATTGATATTAATAAAAACATATTTTGACAAATAGTGATGACACTACAGTATTTCACACATAATACAACACTGAACTAAAATGTTTATTGTAATGAACTATATTTCACTGTTACGTATCACACCAGACAAAACTGTTTATACATAAATAAATGTTCACTGTGTCTTCTTCTCATAAGTCTCAATAGTCTCCTGGATAAAGTCACCACTACTATAGCTTATAGATGGTTTTCAGTCGTGAATGTTGCACCATCAGTTTGGTAGATCACTCTAAATAATATGGAGAAGAGTCCAGTCAGAGCTGCAGTACACAAGTTAATAACAGACAGTGTTACATTTACACAAGTACTGTACTTAAGTACAATTTGCAGCTATCTGTACTTTACTTGAGTATTTCTATTTTCTGCTTTTACTCCACTACATTTATTTTAGTACTTTAGTTACTAGTTGCTTTTTGGAGTCAAGTCTATAAATATAAATACCAGCTCCTCCAATACAGTAAGCCTGAGTGGGAAATTCCCACTGAATTCTAAGTATATAAGGAGCTTAACATTAGTTCCAACTTTAGCAGCCATAACATTAAAGTGATACACAATAATATATCATACCATTTGAGTACTACTACTTTTGGTACTTCATATATATTTGTCTGTGACCTACTTTAAAACTGCAGCTTTAGCATTAACCCTGGCCTGAGCACACAATGCATGAGTCACTTCGTAAACATTTCATTCACTTACGTTTCTTCCCGGCTCCATGATGGAAGTAGACAGACACCACTTCGATTCGGCAATCGTCTTGTCGAGCCTTACACCCATGACGTATTTCCAGTTTTGGGGGGGAAAATGAGCATTAGAAGAGAGAGCGGTCAATTTTGAAGAGAGGGAAAAAAAAACGAGCACGAGGAAAACTGGAACAGAGGGCGGTTTTATATTTTTACACCCTCAATTCCTGATCCTGTGCTTGTTTAAATTGTGTATGTGCTCAAATAATTTGTGTATGTGCTCGAATAATAAAGAAAGTGATCTGGTGCCATAAAGATTCTTTATTTATATCATATGCATACCGTGACTGGGCCTTTGCTGTCTGAGCTCCTTGGCTCTGGAAATTCCTGCCTCATATTCTTAGGCAAGCAAATTCAGTGTCCTTGTAAATCTCTTCTTAAAAAAAATGGCAAAAATAGATACACTACCACTAACACATACAAAACTAAATTATTGAACTAATTCTTTTCTGTAGAATGTTTTGTCCATTGAGGTAGTATTATGTCGAAGTCTCACACTTCTCCTCGGGTCCAGATGATGGAAAGAATATTCAGTCACACACCAACCATTAAAGTGCACTGTACCTTTATTACGGATGCACATCCGGAGATCATACAGCAAGCAGCCACAGCAGATGATCTGAAGTTACATCTCTAACACTGTGTATTTTATACTATTTCTTCCCGCCTCCTTACACATTCCTCAACATACAGCTGGAAAGTACCAGCACTTTCCCAAAGATATTCTTGTAGGATGCAGCTGGTAATTATCAATACTTTCACAAAGATATGTCCCCCAAGCACAACTCCCTAATTCCAAAGTAGTACATTCTGTAATTAAATGAACACACACATTGCTAATGAATTGAGTGAACACACACACCTACTTCTACTAAAATTGAAGGTTATATTCCTTATTTGGTACATTTATATAAAACAGTGCTGATGCTTCAGTCTAAGTGAAGATTATACTTCCATATAAGTACATAAAACTATGCTGGTGCTTCAGTTACAATGTCTCAAACAGTTTAATATTCCACAGCATGTAATCATGGTAACTCCCTTGGAGCAAAGCACAGCTCCTTAGAAGCACACACACACCGCAACTAAGTGAAGGCTATGCATGAAGGCTATCCTCATAAGTACATAAGTGAACACACTATGACCAAATGAAGGCCACACTTTTATCTCCAAAAACAGTGTCCTATTAAGGTAAGAATTTCCAAGCAGTGATAGTGCTTCAGTTATATAGCAACCTTAATGCTTCAATATCCCACAATTAGCTCTCAAGGTCTGACTTATCCAAACTGCACTGCCTCTATTATATGCGAAATATTTCCAGGTCATTACCACTTAAGATGAAGCCATATTGTAAAGCCTCACAATCTTGCCACCTGTGCAACATCAACACAAAATGGAAATACAACCCAAGCAAACATCTTAAAATGTTAAAAAACACAAGCACAACTGCACATTTCCATTTGTGAACCTGAAGTGCTTCCTGTAACCTTCTCAAATACAATGATTAATCAGCACCAAGGTTGTGCTGTGGTCCCTGTAAATGCCATTTCATTAATGACACATGACACTTATTTTCCACTATCGTGTTCCTATTGAAAACCTGCTCCCTCAATGTAATGAGCAGCTGTGGTCACCTGAGTTCAGTCCGTCAACACATAGCTGGAACATTTTGTCAGTCAGTGTCTGAAGGGGGGAGCCATGGATAACTCTCTTCTTCTCGAATCACTCTGTGCTGCATTTTGGTGAAGAAGTTCGCAGACAGGGAAGAGCTGGAACTCAGCAAATAAGTTGGACTTCTTCTTACAGATGTGTGCCTGAACTCAATCAGTCAGTGCTGTCAAGGACTTTCAAGCTTCTGCTACTGCAGTTACATCAGTAATCCAGATCTACAAGAACTGCTGCATTAAGATGTTGCAGCGAAACAGTGCTATCCCCACTCCTGGGTGAAATTGCTTCTCAGCTCTTCCTCATTAGAGAACTATTGGTTTGGGCTTCACACTGGACAGACAGGCAATACAATTCTGTTAAGACTCAAGGATCCATTGGGCTGTTCACTGACTAACTGTCTGAAAGCACATTAGCAGCAGACAGGTAGAGCAACCTGGGAAGACCTGCTGAGGAGCTAAAAGCAGACATAGTATGATTGAGATGCTTTGTTTACTTCATCTTGTGAATTCTTTCACAGGTTTAAATGCCTTAGACAAAATACCCCAGAGTGAACTCTAAATTCAGTGTGCAACCATTTTATTCCAAATGAAGGAAACTATGGAAGCACGATTCTCATTCATTTTGACTTGTACTACTTGTCTTTGATCATCTAAAGCAGTGGTCCCCAATCCCCGGGCCGCGGACCGATACCGTGGATCAATTGGTACCGGGCCGCACAAGAAATCATTAATTATTTCTGTTTTATTTATTATCTGAGTCTGAACGATCTTTTATTTTGAAAAATGACCTAATTCTCTCGGTTACATCTCGGTCACTTAAGCGCCAAAACTGGCTTACTTGTGCGACATATTCAGCCTGCTCAATGAACTCAATCTGTCACTTCAGGGGAAAATGACAACTGTCTTCAAGTTGGCAGATAAAGTAGCTGCATTTAAAGCCAAACTGGATTTGTGGGGACGGCGCGTCAACAGAGGCATTTTGGACATGTTTCAAACATGAGACTTTGGGTGAGACTGAGCCTGAGTCTTCATTCTCCCAGCTGGTGCACGATCACATGTCTTTGCTTTTAAAAGAGTTCGAGCGCTACTTCCCAACCACAAAGGACCCACGAACTGCCAAGGAAGGGATCCGCAACCCATTTGTCAACAAACCAGGTGAATCCAGCAGGTCTGTGCAAGAAGAAGATCAACTGCTAGAGATAGCAAATGACGGCGGCCTTAAAAGTATGTTCGAGACAACAACTCTGTCGGTGTTCAGGATTAAAGTCATGACAGAATACCCTGAGATCGCCACCACAGCACTGAAAACCCTGTTGCCATTTCCGACATCCTA